GGGGGGGGGAGTGTCTTGATGTGGGAAGAAAAACGATCAGGATAGGGTGAATGCAACTTTTGTGGACGAATTGTCTTTAGACTTACTTTGCTAATTAATGCCACTATTCTTGGTGTTTGACCAGCTGAATGTTACCTTTCGAACATAATAACCTACTTGCCCCTAGCAGTAACAGGACAGCTGTGCATTTCAATGTCCGGGTGCTAAGCAGAAGAAAAGTTCTGCTTGAAGATGGTGAATTTGCAAGTAGGGGGAATGACTGAAAGCCAAAAACTTCCCGTGTGATGCCCAAATGATGCACTGGGAGGTAGCAGGGAGAGAGTGGAAGGGGGATTGCTGCTAATACAACTGCTACTCAGGGCGAAATGATTAGACTCATTGCCTCAAAGTTCTAATATAATTGCATATGTACTGGTTCAGCTGATGGGTAGAATCACCTGCCATGTTACGATTTCTACAGTTGTTTCTTTGCTCAGCATCTTGATGTGATTGTTAGGCTTGTTAAGATCTTAGTTTGAAAACATATGTAAATTTAAAAAATAACTTTCTGCAAACCTCTTACATGTTTGCTATTCTTTAAGTAGTATTTGGATTTCTTTAAAACTGCCACTGAGTTGTATGATTATTTTTAAACAAATAAGAACTTTGTATTAAAGATGCAGTTGTATTAAAGAAAAAGGCTGCAGCAAAATGAGGAATACAGTACTACAAGCTAAATAGCAACAGTTAAATATTTTTTATAACACTTTTCATATCGCGGTTTACTGAACAGTCTATAAAACTGTACAAATGTTATCAATTCTCAGAAATTCATGCTGAAGTGCAGTTGAAGAATTATGGAAAATTTCTTGAGGAATATACATCTCAGCTGAAGAGAATTGAAGATGCTTTGGATGACTCTGTTGGAGATGTTTGGGACTTCAGTCTTGATCCCATTGCATTAAAGGTCTTCATATATTTAATATGCATTGCAACTGTTATTTTCCTAGTTCCTCCTTGCCTTCAAAACCTGAGAAGGAAAAGCTTGATGCATTCGTGCTCTTAGAATTTTTACTTTTGTGTTTGAGAAACCTATCCAATACTATTTTAATTATCAAGTAATTAATAAATTGGTGCATATGATAAGAGAAGATGTTTTCATATTATTCTTTTCCAGTCTTCTGGATTCTAGTGCAAGTTAAGTGAATTTATCATTCTTCATGTGTTGGGAAGCTTAATTCCAGCAAACTTCTTCCATGTGGGTGTTGGTGTTTTTATCTGGGGGTTGGGGTTTCAGAAGAACTCACTAATACTTTTATAACTGCAGAGCAAACTGTGTGTGTATTTATAGTCATGTTTTAACTTAATGGCCTTGGTACAGTATTTTCTGTCCTCCAGAGGTGTCTGTTTCCTTGGTCATGAGTTCTCTGTCCTCTGTGGAGCATTTTTTTTTTTTCTCTTCACTGAATTTGCAGACATCATTTAAAAACACTTTTGTTACCATATGGAACTTGTCTGTGCTGAAGATGCACTCTTAAGTAATCACCTGTCTGAATAATTTGAATAAGTTATGTGTAGGGCCCACACAGTGCTGGATGTATATAAAGTGGTCAATATCACGGCTGACTTCAGTACAAAATGTCAGCGCCTGCATACAGATACTGACTATGCATCTTAATTCCTACATTTGGGATTCTTAATTAATGTTTCAGGTTTCCTGAGCTGTTTTTTTTTACATACACCATAATGACCATGCTTTTGCTTTCCAGTTTTTGTAAGTAAATTGTTGTAAATGCTGTATCGTATAGCTAGTTATTTGCCTTTCTGCCTAGAGTGAAAGGAAAGGTATTTCCATGTAAACGTGAAGAGTGAAGATTTCCTGCAGTGTAGGTTGCTAGTAATGTGCAGTTATTGCTCTTTTACTACTTACCTTATTTGAGATTAAACTGGGGAAAAAAAATTACTTAGCTAGTTGGATAAATGTATTTTTGATGAATATTTTCTAAAGTTGTTTGTTTGTTGGTTTTGTTCTGTGGTTTTGTTTTTGGTTTTTTTGTTCTTTTTTTTTTTACTTTAGCTTTTGCCATATGAACAGTCCTCCCTACTAGAGCTCATAAAAACAGAAAACAAGGTAAGCACTTTATGCTTAAAAGAAAAAAAAAAAATGAAAGAGTTATTCTAGCTAAAACCAAGCTCTCTAAACGTGAATCTATTTGTAATGTGTGTGGTTTTTTTCCCCTTTGAGTCTAGGTTCTAAACAAAGTAATAACTGTGTATGCTGCCCTTTGCTGTGAAATCAAGAAGTTGAAATATGAGGTAAATTCAGCTGTCTCTTATTACTGTGTATGAAAATGTTTGCAGATTGGCAAGCTGATATGCAAATGTACTCTTTAGCAGTAAAGAAACAAGATATAATGTCTAAATAATTTTTATAGCATGATTACATATATCCTACTTATTAAAAAACAAATTTCTGCTTTTGTTGTTAGGCAGAAACTAAATTTTATAATGGCCTCTTGTTTTATGGAGAAGGAGGTAAGTAGCTCCCTTTACTGTAAAAGTTTGTAGTTTTACATTATTGTTTCAGGTTATGTTAAATGCTACAGTAAGTGGAATTTTATAATACAGATACATGCTTTCTCTGTATCTTTGACTGATGAACACCAAATAATGGACTTTGAGGTTATAGGGGTATATATTAGTGTCTTGTGACTGTCCTGAGTTAGCTTAGAATAACAATAAGATTTATCTGTTACATTAACAGGAAGTTTTGTTGCAACCTTATTTACATCAGAAGTAGGGAGTATGGGCTGTTGAGATTGTATTTAATGTATAATGTAGAAACCTGAGCTTATATACTATAGCAGCTGTTTTTCAAAGTATGGCATTGAAAACGTGTTTTTCACATGTGAACACATCCTAAACCAACTTATTTCCTATTGGGACTGGTTTTTACACTCATTGTAGTAAAATGGTAAATCTGTTATTTGATAGTAATAAAACACTGAAACCATTAATAAATCACTTGGACCAAGTCCTGCCTAAGTCAATTCAATTGACAAATCATGAGACACTGCTTTAGGGGAAAGCTGCTTTTTGTCTTGGAGTTAAACTGGTAACTCCTCTGAAGGGCTGGTCTTAAGCTTCCATCTTAAAGGATGCTAGTCTTGGAATAAGCACAGATCTTGGTCCTGAGGACTGAATATATTAATGAGTTGATTTAGAGACATATCGTCTAACTGTGTTTTCTATTTCAGAAATTTGAGAGAAAGGGAAAAGTAGTAAAAAGGACTTTTTTTTTTTTTTTAAAGCTTTTCAAGAGCTTTGACTGTGACAGAAGTATTGGGGAATGTGAAATCTTTGAGATAGGGACTGTTTATCATTCTTTTATGTGCTATATAAGATGACTATCATGGTTCAGTTAAGGAACATGAAAAAGTGGTGGGTTTTTTTTTGTTTGGTGTGTGTGGTTAGTTGGTTTTTTTGGTTTTTTGTTTTTTTGTTTTTTTTCCCTTCCTTAGCAGATTCTCACTTCTTATTATACATGGTTTTAAATCTCTTAAAAGAAAGTAATATGCTGCCAAAATGGTATTAGGGGATCCCTCAAAACTTCTCTGTGTCTCTAGCACGAAAAAAGTCAGACTATTGCAGATTAGCATATTACAGCAGCAGGTTGTTCCTGATGGGTGTTCTGCAGGGAATGCTTGAAAATGGCAGCAACTGAGAGGTCGGCCTTCGGTGGGTTAGGTGGGGTTGCAGAAGTGTGACATACACTAAACAGGGTAAAGGTTACATAAAAGGTGTAAAGGGGAGGCGTGCAATATTTAGAATTGTGTCCCAGAGCTCCATCTTAGAGTAGTATGGACACTACTTTAGTCTCTGGTGACTGCTCTAAAATAACATATTTTGTGAAGCAATACGACTTGCATTTCTTATGCAGGTAAACCTGCAATTGTAAGCCATTTTTGTTCAAAGTGGCCCAATAGAAAAATCTCACGTCTAGAGCATTAATCTGTCATCACATTAAAAAGACTGTATTTTGTCAGGTAGTATTACAACTGCTCCAGCTGACTGAAACAGTTTGGCATTGGTGATGCAATTATTGTATTTCATAGTATCTTGTTAGTGTACTTTGTCATACAGGTAATGCTTTGACGCTATGGTGATGAGCTGGTTCTTTTGTGCAGGATGATATGTAGAAAAAAGAAAATGAATTTCTTGAGGAAATTGTATGCTACACAGCTTTTTCTTCTGATTAAAGATGTAGTATATTCTTTCAGTAAATAACTACCAAGGATGTTCCTTGCAATATTAATACCTAGTGCTTTCATGCAAACTTTTTAAAATGGAAACTTTTCTATTAAGTTACATAATATATATGCCTTTAGAGAATTATGGTTTGTATTCTTTACTTTCTTTCAGGTGATGGAGATTTTTTTCCCCGCTTTGTGTCTAACTTATAAACAATGTAATTTTTAATGACAAAGAAACTTCAAAAATAAGTCCGGCTTAGGAAAGCAAAATTTTTAAGGCTTCATCAGTATGCTTATAATAATGTGCTCCACTTGTATGACAAATGGCTTGGAGGGCAAGCTTCAATGTTAATTTAACAGGTCTAACACAGGCTTTTGAAAGTAGTGACAAATGTTTGTCTTTCAAGCCACAGATTCCAGCATGGTGGAGGGAGATTGCCAAATACAGATGGGACGATTTGTTTCGTTCTTGCAGGTAGAGTATGTGTTGGTTTTTTGGGTTTTTTTTTTTTTTTTGGACAGCAATTATAATCTTAATTTTACTTGCAAAGTGGATTTAAGTCTGCAGTATCCTGCTTGCATCTTGCTGAAAGGCATTGGAGACATTTGGTACATTACTATGTTTTGCCTGCAGACCTGTCATAACCAGCTGAGGTATCACACATTGTTTTGGTTTTTTTATACTTGTCTAAAACTCTGGAAGTCTAATGAGAGAAGAAATTACAGTTTGTGTAATCAATTGTTCAAAGAAATCAGAATTTACTTAAGAAAATTCCAGTAAGGGAAGATGAATTGAGGTTGTTTCATTTGACGGTGAAGTTAGATGTCTATTTTTCTGGTTTTGATTAGCAAGTTTTAGTTGTCATTGAACATTGGAAAGGTATTAATTGTTCGTACATCTTTTTTTAGCTGTTAGAAGAAAGCAAAATTAAAGCATGTACCTGGAAAAAAATTGCTTGTGCCTCACTCAAACTTTCAGGGAAGAACACTCATTTCTTTTACAGTTTGGTTGTTTTCAGGGTCCTTTGCATGAAAACAGGATCTGTGTTTCTTCTGAGGATTTCCTGTGTTGTTGGGTTTCAGTCTACTATGGAATTTTCTTATCGTCAGTATAGCTTAAGTGACTGTCCTGTTCCCAAAAATGTTTCTGTTTTTATGCAGTATTGCTTGTAATGAAATATCTATGTTGAAGTAGAGAATATACAGGAAACTTCCAGAATGTTTAAGCAAATTCTGGTTTAACAAAGGTTAAAATTCCTGTTCTTGCTGTGTACTAGCATGGTGGTAGTCATTTATGGAGTCATAACAGGTTGAATGCTATAGGAAGTTGTTTCTCAACCTCTTTTACCATGCCCAAGTGCAGTTAATTGTTAGGATGTCTTGTTTTTGTTTTTTTTCCCCTATTTTTCAAATTTTTTGTCCTATCAACTTTGTCAGTTTCTTCCTTCATCCTCTATTTCTTTCTGAGCAGATGTTTGAGAGCCCTTTTAGTGGTTCTGAAATGGGGCTACTGTACACTTGTATTTTTCCAGTTGTCTCCTGCCCCCCCACACCCCCCCTTCCCTGCCAGGATGCTCTTGTCCAGGTGGAAGTTGAGAGCAGGGTGACTGGATGTCTGGATATCTATGTGTATTGCAAACCCACTCTGTAGAATAAGTTTATGTTTATTTATGGGGTATATGCTGATGTGGATATTTATAGGGTAAACGCGACACAAAAAATAGAGCAATATTGCATGTGAGCCCACTTTGTACGTAAGCTACCATGGCCTGTTGATTGTTGAGCAACTTGGGAAAGAAGGGAGATGCAGGATGTTGCCCCAAAGGGAAGGTTACTGTGTGAAAAGGGGTGTGCGTTGCTTTGGATAAAGCTATGAGGAAAACTTTTTCCTTATTGAGTTTGTTCTTTTTCAACTGTTGTGTTCCCCTAAATCCACTCAGTGGTAGTCTATATCCATAGGCTGGGAAATGCTATTCTGGTCAATGTTATAAGCATATCTCCAAGGGCGGTGTGAAAATATGAATGAAGATGACAAAAGAGGTGAAATGTTGCTTTCATAGAGCTAATGTCCACATATTGGTTTATTGGCTCTTCTGAGTTCAGGATTTCTTGATTAACTAGATGTAATAGCCTCGAATTTGCTATGTCAAAACACTTTTTTAAACAGTTATCAAAATAATGCTGTGAAACACTGGTTAGGTACTCTTGATCTTGCAGTAGACAGTGTATTTGAAGAACTCTGATAAAATGATAATCTCGTCTGTATTATGTAGCTGCTAATATGCATATGCTGTTAAATTGGACTGTTTCCTGGAAGTTCTAAAGAGGCAGCTGGTGCCCCTTCCCCAGGAAACATGATCTCCATTGTCTGTTAATCCATTCCCTTGGAATCTGTTGCCTTGTTTCAGCTGCATTTGATAGAGCAATACAAGTGTAAGAAGTAACAGCACTTTTATGTTTTGTGAAAACCGGTGACTAATAGACGGCAGAAGCCCAAATAAGATCTATTTTTGATGGAGAGGAAGACAGAATTCAGCTGTTAGCCAGTCTTCTGGCAGGAACGGCAGGCTGGCTGGTTAGCCAGTGTGGGCTGTCTGCTATGAAGCCATCTGTGTACTGACTGGCTAGACTCATCACATTCTGACTTATCCCTGATGGGATTATAGGGTGCATTAATGAGCAAATATTATTGCAGTTAAGGGAAACTCAGATTCATTTACCCTATTGCTCAAGGAATGCCTTCTTAAAATCCATCGTATAAACTAAGATAGTCCTTGACGTGGTCAGAGTTCATCTGTTCTTACTCATTTTGTACTATGTAACTGAGCTCAAGTTCTGCTGTAGTCAAACATACCTCTTGAAGATGTCTTGTTTTTTGAAAGCAGTTTTCTGCGGCTAATCACTCTTAGAGTGGGTACAGGCTTCTGTGTTAATTTCCAATTTGAATTCAGCTATCACCAGCTCCCAGAGTGTGACTCTTGAATCTAGTGGGAAAATGCCCGGCCTTTGCTATCAGGGATATTTTCTCTGAAGGTACTTGGGCATTGTTGTCAAGTCACTTCTTACTGTCTTTGATAAATTGAACTCTTGAAAACTTTTACAGCAAGGTATTTAAAGTACACTGAACCCATTATGGTGACTCTTTTCTGTACCTTCTTTAAAGAATCAATATCCTTTTAAAAATGTGGCCCTGGGTATCAATTCTGGTATTTTAGTATCTAGACTGTCAAAGCCATATGCAAGTGTGAAATAATTTCTGTTTTCCTTATTATGCTTTTCAGTAACTTTTTAGCTTAGTCCCAGGTCCTTTTTTCAGAGCTATTAGTTACTAGGATGATGTTTTCCATCCTGCTTTGGGTCTGTCCACTGACTTGGATTAGGAGTATAGTTGGAGCTCGGGCTGCAAGTTCAGTGGTTTATGTTTGATGTTTTGGAAGTAATGGCAATTTGTGTATGAGGAGGGTCTATACGTATATGCATTTTATTTTCTTGTATTTCAGGAGCTGTCTTGCTTTGTTACCCGATGTTACGAAGTGGTGGTGAATGTAGTGCATCAGTTGGCTGTTCTCTATACCAGTAACAAGTAATTATTCCCTAAAATGCTATATTGTTTTTATGTAGTTAAACAAGTATGTAAAATATGAATGTTCTGCCTAAGGCACGGTCATTTTTGGAACATTATCTAGAGATACGGAGAGTGCTTTGCTGTGTAAGTTTGGGCTTCATAAGCCATTATGAAAGTGAATTTGTTTTATTTTCAGAAAAGGCGGTGCTTTTATATAATGAGATGCAAGAATTTTAATTTTTTGCCTTTTTTTTGATAGAATTGATGCTTCAGAGGCACTTAGTCTTTATGATTAAGAGATTGTCTTATTACTCTTTCATCCTTGCTTTGTTTGAGAGAGAGATTCCTTCTGTTGACTGATGGTGGATACCACTAGCTTCAGAAGCTTAAAAATCAGATCACTTTCACAGTCTAATGTTCTAAATATGTAAATCTTCGTCTGTATTCCTCACAGAACAACCTTGGTTTTAACACCTGAAGTTGAGCTTCATAAGGGCTGTTGGGTTTAGCTCCTCTGAAAACTCTGAGGAGAGTTTAGCTCTGAATAGAATTGTTGGGTTTAGCTCTGAATGTAACTGCAGGGCTCTTGATTCCTCTCTCTCCCCCTGCCCTGCCCCGCTCCAGATAGGATAGCATCGTTCTCAGTTTTATTTGTTGTCTTACACTGCAGCACAAGGTAGGCTTCCTGTGTGGTGCTGAACAAGCAAGGCTGGATGTGTGGCTTGCACATGGCTTGGTTAAATGTGTAAAGTGATTTTGTACTTTCGGGCCACAAGGCTGTATGTATCAAGGCTACTTGCTGTTAGCATAACCGAATTGGTAATTGCTGATATACAGGTACACTGAATGCAGTCAGTGGTTTGAACCAGTCACATGCTGTACATTTAAAAATGCAATACTAAATTTGATCATAGCACACAGATTTCACATAGTGTATACTTTTAATCAGATTTTGAGAATTCTTTTGTTTTCTGAAGTTATGTTAATGAAGAAAAATGTACCCCAGGAAACAAAGAACACACCGTGATACAGAATTGATAAATATGCTCTGTTCCAAGGATTAAAAAGGCATTAAAATATTTATTTTGTTTACAGGAATGCACCTAAAATTATAGAGACGTCTGGAGTTCATTTTCAGGTGGGAATGACTTGGAGCACCTTTTGCTTATGTTAATATATGTGTGTCTTGATCATTAATGCTGAGAAAAGCAGCAAGAAAGTGAATTTCAAGGACAACTTTCAATCTGGAATCTCCTTTAAAGGTTTTATTTTGTTAATCAGCTTTTTCTGGCCTTTATGTGGAAAGAGCTGGTATCTCCCTGTCTGTCATAGTCTAGCTTTCTTAGCTGAAAGGTGTTCGCACACTCCTTTATTGTGTGCAGTATGTGCTTCTGCGTGTAGACAATTTTGAAAATCCTACCTTCAATATCAGATTAGATCAGTGAACTTAAAGCTGTGCCTGTACACAAACTAATGTTCCTTGTGTCACTACAAGACATACTAAATCTTCAAGCTACCAAATGAAGAAATCTCCAGTTTAACTCTCTAGCTGATGTCTTGTTGGCTGATAATATATTGAAAGGAATGGAAATTTTACTTTCCACACATGACTGTAGTAAACTTTCAATAACTACAGTCCTTTTCTTTTTGTTTTAAACAGGCAATGTACGAGCATCTGGGAGAGTTGCTCACAGTCTTAATCACTCTCGATGAAATAATTGACAATCATGCCACTCTGAAAGATCACTGGACCATGTATAAGAGGTGTGTCTCTGAAGGTGTGAAACATACTCCCACAACATAAAAAATAAAGTGTGTGTCTGTGTTCCAAGAACGTCAGTGTGGGAACATGGATTTTGGTAGCCCTGAGAGTTTTCCAGAAACCTCAATGACGAGCAGGGCTAAGCTCCCACTTTGTCCTTTTAACAGCACCAGTAAGTTTTTTTTAAGTGCTGAATGTTACATATAAAATATGTGGTAAGCATCCTGACAAACAGAGTTAGGGTTGGTGGAGTTTAAAATACATTCAATAAGAAATCTAATTTTGCACAGAACTGATCTAAGACTATCCGTATTCATCATGGAGGTGGGCATACAGATTTAAGTAAGAACACTGTCTTAAGTAAAAGGTGAAGAGTCAACAATTATAAAGGTAGTTAAATTAGTGGAATAACTACTCTGTTTCATTGAGAATCTGAATAAATGGGAGTTACTTAAATACAAATGCCTTATACAGACCTAGTGGGTTTGTGGTTGTTTTTTTTTGTTTTTGTTTTTAATTTTGGAGTTGCTGCTGGGCACAGATGTGGGCAATTAAAATCTATTATCAAAATAGTACAGGATAAGATAACACTGTTGGCGTGTTTTAATTGTGTTGTATGTACGTGTTCCACACCTGCTCCTTACAGGCTGCTAAAATCTGTCCATCACAACCCTTCTAAGTTTGGGATTCAAGAAGATAAACTGAAGCCATTTGAAAAGCTGCTGTTAAAACTGGAATGCCAGTTACTTGATGGGATGATATTTCAGGTAGAGAAATTAATGTTCCCCAGTACAATAGGGGAGACTATTACATTACAGCAACACTCTTCTTAGAATGTTTTGTTTTGTTTTTTTATTTTGTTTTGTTCTGGATACAGTGATGTATGAATTTAGCTCTTGCATCTGTGCGTGGAAAAAAAAAAAGGCTCTATTGTAAGATCCTTCCTTGCTCTTCTCATGTGCTAGAACAGTGCCAGGCTTTGAATGGTAGCAGTTAATGCTTACTGTTTTGCAGAATTAAAGAAATGCAGACAACTTGGCATTAAGACTGTGTATTATCAGTGAGTCTGTTTCTCACCAGAAATTTTAATAGTGGTCAGGCTTACATAGCATAGGTCCACTTTATTTTAGCTGCAGGTTAAAGTCTCCTCAGTTGTCTTGAAAATATATTAAGTGTGACCTCTTGTTATATATTTTGTCTCATTCCTAGTATTGGAGACAGGTTGCTGTCATGGGGTACCGCTTCAGTGCTGCATACTCCTGAAACATGCAAGTGTACAGGTGGATGAGAAGGATTATTACTTTTTCAATGCAGTTAATTTAAATGTGTTCATACAAGAAGCCATCTTGTTTTAGAAAAGTGTGTATTTGAGACACTGAAATCAGATGTTGTGGCATAGTGGGCAGAGGATAGCGTTGCTGAATCTGGTCACAGCAGAGTCAATTGATCAGGACTGTTACTCAGTTCTTACTGTTACATCCTAAATGGCATAGGGAAGAAGGTTTTGTTCTGTAAAAGCCTCCAAAAGGGAAATTGTAAATAAATAATTAAACACAATTTTTCTTATTCTTTCAAAGGACATTGCTACCAGCTATCCATTTTTAAACTATATTCCTCTAATGTTGCTTTAGTACAAAGACTTCATGATATGTTTGGGGCATTGGTAGGATTTGTCTGGTATTCATTCAGGATGTTTCCCCTCCTGGCCTGTCAATGCCCCTTCCTAACAAAAATACATTGAATATATTCTTAAGTACAATTCCATTAAAGACTATTCTTATATCTTTAGAAAATCTGAAGTGTGTCTTTTTTTTTTTTTTTTTTTTTTTAAACAGCCACCAGTGGTGTGGGGGTTTTATGCTACAAGTTCATGAACCACATCCTACAAGCGACTTGCATAATAACTTTGTTTAGTTAGTGAACAGTTAGTAATATATTATAATATAATTATGCAAATATGCATCTGGTTTCTTATCCCTAGCACATCATGTGGTTTCTTTAAAAATGCCTCTTAACAGAAATGTTAAGTAAATAAAATTTTTTTGAATGTTAGGTATAAGAGAGGTTTTTAATGTTTTCTGTTGTACTAAATGTAAGTATACTTAAAATCTGTATGTTGTGAAGTCTAAGACTAACTTCAGGTTAGTGCTATATGACATAAATCAATGTGTTCTTGCAGTATTCTTCTCTTGCAAAATCGGTATTCTTTTAAGGTTCAAAATTCATGGCATTATCATTATGCCTTTTTTTTTTTTTTCCCCTTTTTGCTCAGGCCTGTATAGAGCAACAATTTGATTCTGTGAATGGTGGAGTGTCAGTGTCGAAGAACAGCACGTTTGCTGAAGAATTTGCTTATACTCTTCGGACGACTTTTGCAAATGTTGAAGCTAAACTTGGTAATGCAAGCTCATGATTCTCCTGCCAGCTTCACTGTCTCTAAAATTGTTTATATTGTTTGTCTGGGAGTAGACTTCAAAAAAGGATTTTTTTGGTGTATTTGTGCAGGTGAACCTTCAGAAATTGACCAGAGAGATAAATATGTGGGCATCTGTGGCCTCTTTGTACTGCATTTTCAAATTTTTCGGACCATAGACAAGAAATTTTACAAGTCATTGTTGGATGTCTGTAAAAAGGTGAATGCTTTATTCTTTTGTCAATAATTAAGAGGGGAAAAATATTCACTTATGCAGTAGATAATTTTCTTAGTTGTGTAGCAACTTGGGAAAAGAAAACACACAATTTACCAAAGCAAATCAAAAAGCAGAATTAAGATTTTTCTAGTTTTTATAATCCCCCCGCCACCTTTTCTTTTAAAGATGCTCCCAAAAACCTGTCCGCTCACTTAGCAGCAAGGTAAAATAACTTGAAATTACCATTAAAATGCTTCTTCTCAAGCATTTAACGTCGCACTGAGGACAAAAAATTGTTTGAGTTATGAGTATTGTGGGACTGAATAAATGCTTTGGGTTTTGACTTTGGCTATAAACATGTATCTTGAAAGACCTCTAAATCCAAAGGTGATTGGGGCTTTTTCATATCAGGTGGTATTAAGAAATTATTAAATTCTCTAATACTGTTTAGAATCACTGAGAGTGGTAATAACTTTGCCTGTGGTGTCCTTAGTGAACTTCTAGGGAAGAAACCTTTTTTAATGTGAATGTAATACTTTGTAGAAACTAGTTATGCAGAAATAAACTGAATTGAAATGAACTGAATTGCATGTTATGGTTCAAAAGAGACATAAGAAACATGCATGGTGGCATAGTATTTGTTGCAGTTATTTACGTTTATTGCTAATTGTAGTATTCTCCCCCCTTTTTTTTCTCCTCCTCCCTCCCCCCCCCAGGTACCAGCCATCACATTAACTGCTAACATTATCTGGTTTGCTGACAACTTTCTGATTCATAAGATACCAGCTGCTGCCAAACTTCTGGACAAGAAAAGTATTCATACAGTTAAAATGCAAAGGGAGAACTTTCTACAGCAGAAGGCACAGTCACTTACCAAGTATGCTTCCTAAATATTGCTTCATGGTGATGTTTGGGAAACAGTTTACGAACATGTGCGTTTCTTCATTCAGCGCACTAGCGTGTTGTGTAGTTTTGCTCAGTGGTGATAAACAACTTTTCCATTTCACTGCATCAATATGTGTGTGTTAGTGTTGCTGAAAAAGTGTTGGTCAAAATGAAGCTTTTTTTCATGTCATGCTTTCAGAAAAATATGTATTATGTCACCAAAATAACAAAGTTCGTGGCAGTTCTAAATATTTGATTGTTTCAGTTATTTCTACTTCCACACTTTCAACTTCTGTTTTTTTTAAACTAGTGTCTAGTAACCTGAGCTGCTTTGTTTTCTATTAGGGCTCTCTGCTTTCTATGTGTTTATGGAGGTAAGTCACTGGTAGGCTTATGGAGGGCTTTTTCTCTGCTTGGTGATGATACTTTCTTTGCAAGCATTTCTTTCTTCATGACTGTTGTAATTGTTTGTTTAATGGTCTTTGAAATTAGATATATTTGAAAAGGATTCTCTTCTGTGCTCTGCATGTAGTTTGCAGGTCACTTCCTTCTCTAAGTGCTTTCTAAAATACATTTAAAGATGAGATGGAGTGTTCTTTTAGTTGTGAGTCTTATGACCAAGTGTGCTGCACTGCATAGAGAGATAACAGGGCTAAGATTTATGTTTATGTTGCAGACCAAAACAAGAAGGTGGAAAATGGCGTTTGTGGAATAGAAGTAAAAACTCAGATTTTGCAGGTTGTCTTCCAACCCTGTGTGCAGGCTGGCAGGACTGGGTTGGAGGGGGGGGGGAAAGCAACTCCATGTCTACGTGATCCTCTGGCAGATTATTTTCACTGCTGCCCTGTTTCTGTTTCAATCCGCCTCTTCCTGGTTTACAACCTACATCCACAGGAAGAGTCAAGAGCTGTGACTAAATTCTTTCCTGGGCTTTAATTCCTGGATGGAGCATGATTGCACTGCTGCTTTGCTTTTTGGTCTTGGGCAGTGGTACAAGTCATGTCTTGCAGCTCTTAAGATTAAGAAAAGGTTCAAAAAATGATCTGGGTATTCACAGACATTTTGAGGATATTGTAACATGATGCAGATTTTACTTCTGCTGATTTGAATTCTGCCAATAACTTTCTTGCCTTTTTACAAGTTCTTGCATTGCCTTTTATAATTGGACTGTTGCCTCTAAATGTTGAGTACTCTTTAAAGTGTAATTTTTTTATGTCATAATCAATGACCTGAATGCATTTCCACTATAACTGCTATAATAAGTAGTATTGCAGTGTCACAATTCTGTAGCATGGAATAAATAGAAGTTTTAAAAGTGAACTCTACTTAAACATTTAATTACAGCTGGTATAATCCAAGCAGATTAACTTCTGGAGAATTATGTTATTTAAGAGCGGTCTAGTTGGGCATTGATGTAATGACAAGTTTTAGGTTTGTTTGTTTGTTTATTTATTTATTTTTATATATTGACTCTTTGGAGTATGTTTGCACAGATATAATTGCAGACTAATCCTTACCAATACAGAATTAAAATGTAAATGAGTATGAGGTTCTCATACTTTTGGGAATGGAGAGTTATTACTTTGAGGACTGAAGATTTAGCATGTTTCCCTTGGAAGAATTTAAGCTTTGGAAAGGAAAGAAAAGAAAATCCTCATACTCTTCTTATTTGAAGTAAGCAGCATTGTTTGTTTGTTTCCTTCTCCAGAGATATGCAGTCATATTACGTTTTTGTGAGCTCATGGATGACAAAAATGGAGTCTATCTTGTCAAAGGAGCAACGCGTGGATAAGTTTGCAGAAGATCTTTCTAACCGCTGCAATGTCTTCATCCAGGTATGCAGTCTTTTAATGTGCTGATACAGCAAATGATGCAGCAAACTGATGTTTTGGTGCAAGTTGTTGAACAATAAAAGAAATCACAGAGGTTCTGTGATCATCAGTGTGTTATTTTACAATGTGAGAATTCTTCTAAAACTTTCAATGTCCAGTAAGTACTCTTTTAAGTAAATCTGTAAAAGGTACTTCTATAAGGCGTGTGGGGGAAGTGAATCTGACTAAAATATTCAGTGGCTAAAATTTTGAATTTTTCTCTTAGGAAATCAAGAAAGCTTCATTTCCTCTGTAGTAAAGGTTTTGGGTTTTTTCCTTTTGAGTCAGTCATGATTAGACTGAACCAGTGTCTTAATTTAGTTTTATTTAGCACAGTACATGCTTCCAGTAAAGGTTTTGTGTTGTTTCATTGTGCTTTGCCTAGTGATGGTACTTTGCAAGAATCTTACTGCATTCCGAGGCAGCTGGTTTTCTTTTGGCCTACTAACAGCATGTACTCTTAATGTAAGATGCATCTTATTTCTGAATTTATTTTTTGCTAGTTTTGATATGTATCTATCTGCGTGACAGAAATCTGATGAGAATAGGTGTTTGATAGAAGCATGATCCCGAATCTTCCATATCTAAAGACATACACGTACTAGGATCTGTGGGTTTTGTATTTGAATTATTTGCAGTGGACTTATGTAAATTTTGCTCTGTAGCAAATTGAGGTTCCTAGACCACTTGCTGTCTTTTCCTGGTCTCTCTTTTTATTGTTACTACTTTTCCTTTGAAATAAATTGAATAACATTTTTGTCATGCTGTATGTAATCAACATTGTATTTAAAAGCTTAGCATACATTGATTTAGAAACAATTGCTTTTTTTACTGTGGGATGGACAATTGTATTTAGACAGTGTAAAACTGTGTAAATACTGTCAGTGTATTTATTCCACGGAATCTGGAAGTTTTAGTTTGTTTTTGTGATAGGCTGTTTTTTGGGGGATGGGAGTTGTTTGGTGGGTTGGTTTACAATAGGTCTGAAATTATTAGACCTGTGAGGCTGTGCAATTAGTTAATTCACTGACCTATGTTTAATTTGAATGGCTCTAGAAGAGGATAATGGTCAGGTGATGTGATGACTTGCAGGCAGTTTCATAATCTCTGCTCAATAAAAGGGTCTCATTCAGCTTTGGGATCTCAGGTTTGCTTATTAGGTGGAGTGGTAGGTTCTCTAGTGTGAAGAGGCAAAAGTTAGTACTTTCATGTATGAAAGAAAACAGAGAGGACTTATTTGATTGATATGTTGTGAAAAGATTAATTCCCCCCCTCCCCTTACTCATTTTATTTTTAGGGTTTTCTTTATGCATACAGTCTTAGCACCATCATTAAAACTACAATGAATCTCTACATGTCAATGCAAAAACCTATGACCAAAACATCGGTGAAAGCTTTATGCAGACTTGTAGAACTTCTGAAGGTAGGTCACTGGATGAAAACTGATCAAACACCACATATTCAACCTCCCCACCCCCCAAAAAAAACCCCAAACCCCCACAACTGAGTGGGGACATGTTTTTGCATGGATTCTTGTTCATGACTGGATTTGGTTATAGAACAGGAGATTTGGGAGGGTAGAACTGATCTATTTAACTTCTAACCACCTTCCTTAGTTGGTATCACAAAATGATTGAGGTTGGAAGGGACCTCTGGAGGTCATCTGATCCAACCTCCCTCTGCTCAGGCATGGCCACCTCGAGCTGCTTGCCCAGGACTGTGTCCAGATGCCTTTTAAATTTATCTCCAAGGATGGAGACTCCACAAACTCCCTGGGCCACCAACCTGTGCCAGTGCTTGGTCACCCTCACAGTAAGAAAGTGTTTCCTGATGTTCAGAGGGAACCTCCTGTGTTTCAGTTTGTGCCCATTGCCCCTTGTCCTGTCACTGGGCACCACTGAAAAGAGCCTGGCTCCGTCGTCCTTGCATCCTCCCTTCAGGTATTTATACACATTGATGAGTTCCCCCCTCCATGGCTGGACTCTCTCCAGTATGTTCATGTCTCTCTTGTACTGAGGAGCCCAGAACTGGACACAGCACTCCAGGTGTGGTCTTGCCAGTGCTGAGTAGAGTGGAAGGATCACCTCCCTCAACCTGCTGGCAATACTTTGTCAAATGCAGCCAAAGATACCATTAGCCTTCTTTGTGGCAAGGACACACTGCTGGCTCACGTTCAACTTGCTGTCCACTAGGACCCCTAGGTCCTTTTCTGCCAAGCTGCTTACCAGCTGGATGGCTCCCAGCATACATTGGTGTATGGGGTTGTTCCTTCCCAGGTGCAGGACTTTGCACTTCTCCTGGTACTTTTTCCAAAAGGAAAATACTCTGTTTTGAGATAACTTCAGACAGCGATGTTGAACAGAGCTGGATTATTTAAAAAAACAAACCCAAAAAACCAACAGAACTTATATCACAGTCTTGAAAGTTTTTTACACTCCTGAATGATTTGATTTTCTCAGTTTCTAAGGGTTAATTGCAAATGCTACTTACAGTACATTACAAAGTGAAGAGAGTCGGTATTTGCAGTGTAGGTGAGTCCACCAGCATAAAGCCAAATTCTAAACGCAACAATGTCGTTAACTACATGAACTATTGTGTTTTGGGATTGACTTTAGGCAATAGAACACATGTTCTACCGAAGAAGTATGGTTGTGGCAGATTCTGTGACGCACATCACTCAACATCTGCAATATCAGGCTCTCCACTCTATTTCTGTAGCCAAGGTATGTAATCCAAGTTCTGATAACTAATCTTCCTAGCTAAGTGTTTAAAAAAAACCCTTCATTTTAAATGAAAGTATTTTTCTTACTTTTGCAAAATCTGTAGTGTTGTTCTATCATAATCGACAGATACATAAGCTTTCCAGTAGGTCAGAGCTTTGCCCTAGAAACTGTACAGCATAGATAACTATCTATTTTTGACCAAGAATGGGTCCTCTCTTCCTCTAAACTGCTGCATCTCCTGTCATGTTCCTCTTGTGTTCTTTTTAGTTTTTATTTCTAGTGATTTTCACAAACTGACCTTTTCTTACCTCTTTTCTGACGCACATTCTTAAAGCAATCTGTTATAGCTCTAAGCAAACAGGCTGTTATTTCTTTAAATCTTTGTCTGCTTAGCAAAATAGCAGTGGTTAATACATGATGGCTTATAGGAGTCTAATGCAGGCATAAATTCACTCTTTCTCTGTGGGATAAAATGGGTTTTGATGGTGAGACACTGTAATATCTACATATTATATCTTTCTATAAACAAGATCAGTTTACTACACATTTTGCTTATCAAATCTTGAATTTCTGAATTCAGGGCAAATGGGAAAACGAGATTTTTAGTATACCTGTTATGATGTATTAGTGATTGTTTTATTCTTTCATCACATTCAGTAGCAGAATTACAAAGGAGATATGCTACTGCTATCAGTGCAGCTATTAAATTTTCCTTTTAATTTTTTTTTGTTTTGACCATGCTCATGTGAATGGATTACAATTTTAACAGTAGACTTTTGTATTTTGGAAGTTTGACATGTTTGAAATTTGGCTGTAATCTCAATTTATATATCTGGTGTCTCCATATTTTCTAGCATAAGCAAAAAAAAAAAAAGTTGTACTTCTAAAAAGCTGATACATACACGCATATATATACATACATATGTATATATATGTATCAGGAGTAGCATGAACTGAACAAGTTCCAAGCTTCAAAGCTACGAAGAAAAACTATGTATCTTCAAACAAACAGTTCACATATATTTAGATAACATTCATAACCTTTCCCAACGATATTAGCAATTACATTACAAATTATTTTCAAATACATAAAAATATGTTGAGACTTTTGTATTGAGTGCATATCCAAGAGAACACATCTGTGAACAATTCTTTGTATTTTGACTACTTTCAGAAAAGATGTAAGAGGCAAATGCTGGTAAATAGAAGAGTTCATTAGTACTAATCTCTTTTTGTCTGCTCCACTTAGTAACAAAGTGGTGTAGGGTCTAAGGCATATACCTAAGATAGCTTTAGCATATAAGGTTAGGAGCTTCATGTCGAACATACTTTCTTAGAATTGGAAAAGGTTTTCTTTAACTCTTTCATGAAACTGTACCTCTTCTGAGTTACACTGCTACTCACAAATACGTCTGTGACTTCAGCTTCTTAGCCAGAAGACTTCGTTCCCTTCATTCGTTCATGCAAATGTTTTTGCAGTTAATCTTTCTGATAAATTAGGATTTGTAGAAAATTGCAAGTCATTGTTATTACTGTGTTTATGTCTTCTGGCTCTTTGGTTGTAAACTAGATTTTGTTACCAACAACAGGGAGTCAATGATTAAAAAATAACTTAAAAAATTTAAATTACATGTACCTTAGAACTAAAATCGGCATGCAGTCACATGCAGCTTGCACAGTATTTGTATACCTGACCCATGTTCATGCTGAACTGCGCATATTCCAAGCGTATCGATAGGTAGCACCACCGAATGGACAGAATAAGCGAATCTGGATTTGGTTAGCTCTGTTCGCAAACCATAATTTGTTTGCAGAAATACTAAATTTATGACAAGTCCATAAGCTTTCGAAAAAAGAGGTAAGCTATTGCTTTTGGGCTTAGGTAACTTTTCTCTGAATTTCTTTGTCTTTCTATCATTAAGAAAAGAGTAATTTCTGATAAAAAGTACAGTGAGCAACGCCTGGATGTCCTCTCTGCTTTGGTGTTGGCTGAGAACACCCTCAACGGGCCAAGTACAAAACAGAGGCGACTAATTGTTTCCCTTGCACTGAGTGTGGGAACACAGATGGTAAGTGCCATGATTGTTCCAGACCTTTACTCATTTGGTGCAGTATCTTACACAGAAATATAATCTTGTCTTTTTTTTTTTTTTTTATTTGCACAGAAAACTTTTAAAGATGAAGAACTCATTCCCCTTCAGTTAGTTCTGAAAAAACTAGATTTGATCAGTGAACTTATAGAGCGGTAAGCAGTGGCACATGTTATATAGAAGGCAGTGTAGTGTCACTGGGGAAGCTGGATCTTCACTGTGCAAATTGCAAAATCTCGTAGCTGCATGCTGGTGGTGATTTTTGCATGTATTGTAGACCAGGGATAGACAGAAAGAATTCCAGAGCTAAGCCTGAAGCTTGCTGCTCTTGGGGCAAGTCATATTTTCCCTAACTGTTGCCAATTAGGTAATCCACTTCTCTGATTGTTTAGAAATTCTGTCACTTTCTTGGATGGCTAGGCTTTATGTTAAGCTAAAGTCTTCCTCTTAACCCAAACCCAGAAATTATGAGTTAATACCAGTCTGTTTGGGAGATCAGGCTGTGACACCATGTTTTACTGCTGCTGTAGTTTAGTGGGCACTCTGTTTCTATAATGTTGGCCATCTGGAAGCCAGGTGAATATCTGGGTTCCATGCATACTTTATGGAGAGAGACAAACACCTTCAGTGGATGACTCATGGGATAAATTCCTGGGATAAGTGGTGTGCACAGGTTGTATCAGGAGAGGCCTGTTTCTGGTTTTTGACTTACAGGAGAAACTTAGAATATGTATTTGAGCCTATAGTATAGGCTACTAATTGCATGCAATAATAAAATGATTATTTAGGATTTTGCTGTAATGTAAGGTCTAATTCTTTTGGAGGCTGAGTAAACTTTTCTCCTAAAGCAGGTACCTTTTGTTTTTAAATAGCCTGGTGGAAAACAAGGGGAAAAAAAAAGTTCTTCATTCAAGAACTTTCTTTTGAAGGACAATGCATCTGGAACATTAGAGTAGCCATGTAAAACTTAAGCTTGAAATGCAGTTGTCTTTAGTTTAAACACACTAAAATAAATATCACTGTGTTTAGAAGAATGGCTTCTTCCAATTCTGTGTCTAATAAGTAATCTTGTATTCTAGAGTTCGAGTACAATGTGACTGTTGTTTCTTATACTGGCATCGAGCAGTCTTTCCAATCTATTTAGATGATGTGTATGAAAACGCTGTTGATTCTGCTAGACTGCATGTAAGTAATAATGTTAGTAACTTAGTTTAACAAGCCACTGTAGTGGGAGGGATTCAGAGGAGGAGAGGATAAAGCTTAGACTGAAACTCTTAAGGAAAAAGCTCAAAGAAAAAAAAAAAGTAAAACCCAGGCAAGAGTTACTACTGAGGCAGAAACTTCTTCTCAATCTGAAGGATATAAAACCAGTCTTTCTTCTAAATCTAATTAAAGTATATCTGTTAGATTGCTCTAAAAATCTCAGGTTGCTGTTGTTAACTCTGGGTCTCTGTCTCTTTGTTCCTTTCTTCATTCATTCTAATTTGAGATTAACACCTTTTGCTAGACTTGAACATTAAAAGTCTTTGTTCCACATTGTGGTTATGTATTTCTAAAGCACATATCACTGTGTTCAGTGATGCTGTGTGGGATAGTTGACCTGTAGCTTTTTCCACCCCCCATTCCTCCTCCCTTCTTTGAAGTATCAAATATTTGCTGCGGAAGTGAATCATGCTTTGGCATACTAATCCTGATAAAAATCAATCATCTATTCCAGTATTGTGCATGCCATGGTCAATTACAGTACTAAAATGATTATAGTGCAAATAATTTCAGATTAAATAGCTAATAATCATGATCTTCCAGTAAATGGATCAGTAGCAACTAAATACTTCAGATGAATACATTAAGGACAGGAAACTTCAGTCGGGTTTATGAAGTCTATTTTTAATAGAAGTGGGAAGACTAACAATTTTGACTTGTTTGTTAGCTTTGAACACTCTTTGAGATGCTGTTGACATGTCTGTCAATCTGTTGGTTAAGCATAATGGTTTCTTTTTTCAGTATATGTTTAGTGCACTACGGGACTGTGTACCTGCTATGATGCATGCAAGACACTTGGAATCTTACGAGGTGCTTCTGGAATGCTATGACAAAGAAATCATGGAAGTGCTCAATGAGGTAATTTGTTGTGAATGGAAATTAAAGGCAGTGCTATGATTGGAATATCTTATAGGGCAGCATCTATTGTACCAAACCTGATATGATCTATGACAATAGCACAGAGACCTTTGAGATTGGTGTGAACTATTTTAATAAATAAGAAAGTGTTCACTGATGATTTTGGTTATTTAAGACCTGTTGTTAATGGTATCTGTGTTGGCTGGGAACATGACAATACTGCACTCTAAATGACATAAGTTGGCAAAACCTCAGTTACAGATTTGTCTATGCAGACAGGAGTGTTCTTTGTCAGATTAGCTTCTGCTTGTATGAATGCCTAAAATAAGTACTACCGTTCTTAGTATGTATGCATGGTTTTTAGTAGTGAAGGCTCTGTAAATGTAAGTGACCTCTTCAGTGAATTATTACGTAGAATTACAAAGGATGTTTGACAGAAAGAAAATGTGAATTCAGATTTCCTAAGTCCTAGGTTTTAACCTTTGAACCACTCTTTTTGTTTGACTAGTTCAAAATCAAACATTACATATGCTGCAGAAAATCAGGCCAAATTGCTTATTGAAAGACTCTTCCTCACTGAGTTAGGTCTTACTGTTATCTAGGTAGATAGCCCTAAGCCTAGTTCCCCTTAAGATGAGAAGTGAGAATACTTGAGTTTAAATTGTGTTAAACTCCTACGCGGAAGTTTTAATCGTGTACAGAATGGCATTAGGTGTCTAAACCTTTACCTTTTCTGAGCTGTGTAGCTTTTTCTTGCTATTGTGTACTAGAACAAGAACACAGGAATTAAATACCCTTCTGGTTCCCAAGTATTGATTCACTTTGACTTGTGTGGCCCCGCTAAAGCAAAGCTGTCTTCACTAGTTTAATCAGTCTTTTATGCATCTCTGGAGAGAGATGTTAGCTCTGCTAACAGAGCATTGTAAGCGGGCACTGAATGTGACGTGGTTTTTTTTGTTGGTTTTTTTTTTAACTTCCCTGAATAGCACTTGCTGGACAAATTATGTAAAGAGATAGAAAAGGACCTGCGCTTATCAGTTCATACACACCTAAAGCTGGATGACAGAAATCCGTTCAGAGTTGGTATGAAGGATCTAGCTCACTTCTTCTTTCTGAACCCGATACGTTTTTTCAATCGATTCATTGACATAAAAGGTGAGGAGTTATACATTTTCTTGATTCCATTACTTTCATCTTTGTTACACTTTGGCTTAGTATATCTTTTCACTTCTTTCCACACTTCCCTAACTAAATAGGTAGTAGTATTATTTTAGTTCATCCTCTTATGTGTTTACAGCTCATGTAACTCACTATTTGGACAAGACCTTCTACAACTTAACGACTGTAGCTCTTCATGACTGGGCCACCTACAGTGAAATGAGAAACCTAGCAACTCAACGCTATGGTTTAAGTATGACTGAAGCACATCTTCCCAGCCAGACTCTGGAACAGGTACAGTGCCCACAGGATATCATTTGTTCCATTGCACTGTCGTACTAGCTAGCTATTTGAAGGACTGAGGTGTTAAAATGAAAGTACCCAAGATTAGCAAACTGTTTGAAAAAAATGACCTTTAATTTCTGGTTGACTTCTGAGACAGGATCTCTGTCTACCTTTGGAGATAACACCGATATCAGTTAATTTCATGTTGGACTTGTAGCATTCATTTTTTAACATAAGATTTAATAAAATGAAATTGGGTGTACAAAGTCAGAGAATGTTTTCTTGAAAATTCAGTATCAGCAATTTGGCAAGCAATACATCTGGAATACAACTGTCACAAGTCTGGAATGACCTTTGGTGGGTCTCTTCCCTGGTTTATTGCTTGCTTCTCAGCAGTTTCTGCTTAGTGATCATCAAGAGAAACTGTTTCACAGGCTGCACGTCGAGGACTTTGGGACATCCGTGCTTAGCTTAATAGGAGAGTGACTTGGAGCCTCCTACAAACTGCTAAATGTGGTTACATATGGAGTAAAGTTGTAGTTCCATCAAGTTAGTGCTGAAGGCATTCACTGTTATAGGGTCAGTGCAAAATAAATACAACTTGCATATTTCTGAAGACTTTTCTTCAAGAGTTTTAGTATCTTGGATATTTTTGGCAGTTAGCTTCATTCCCTCATTTTGGTTAGCACATTGGTGAAAGCTCTTAGAAATACAGCCTCTTTTTTTCTAATGTTCATGATGGCTATGTCTTCCTAAGTTGAAAGAGGGCATAGAACTAAAAACTCTAGCTGCTTCTTAGTACAAAAGTGCTGTGGATTAGTTCCTATTTCTAGCTTTGGCTTTCTATTGGCAGTATTTGGCCATCACGTTGTTCTAAAGAATGAAATCATTTCACAACATTGGTTTCATACCATTCATTCAGGTATGAGCTTTACTTCAAAACAAAGACAACTCCCACTCCATTCCCACCCCAGCCCCAGCAAAATCCTGATAAAATCCTTGGGACAACTGGAAATAGAGTGTGTAGATTAAACAGCATCCTCTCTGTGCACAGTGATACTAAAGTGACTCCTTCAAGCAAAACAATTGTAAAACTTATATTGTAAATACAAAACTTCGGTCTTCTAGACAGGTTGGGCAAAAGGACATCAAAAAGTAGCTAGTTGCTTATGTCTCTGTAGAAATCTGTGTTTCTGTAGAAACCTCTAAGGCAAGATTCCATTTTCTGGGATCTGAGAACAGCCAAATATCTCTTTTTTTTTTTTTTTTTTTTTTTTTTTTTTTTTTTGGGGGTTTTGGGATAATCAGGGGGATTTTTTCTTTTTCTG